AGGCTCTCTAGTCGAAGATAGGGCAAAGAGGAAAAAGCGAGGAAGAGTATGGGGTTAGGAGGAGGGCGGAGGTAGGGGGATGGGAGCTTCCGTTAGAGCCCAGTTCTTCTTCAGCCCTTCCTACTGGAACCTGTTTACAGGCTTGATTTATTAACGTTTCCAGTGGCTCTCGAGGCCAAAATCGTTTACGGGACCAAGTTTTAAAGGATTCCTTACGTTCAAAAACTAGTTGGATGTAACAGGATTGCAGCTCCAAATTTTTCAGTCAGCAAGAATCTCCCAATCTGATACAAACCTGGATAAATATGTGTGTCCATAAACTGGTCTGTCTACAATCTGATGGGTAATTGAATCACAGTTCTCGTGAAACGTGGCTCCTATGGCTTCGGAACTCTGCCACGAGACTTCCCCTCCAAAACATCTGTAATCGAAAAATTAAAGTTTACAAGGAAATCAGGTGGACAATCAAACATGGTTTGATACTACTCTCATTTAAAGATTTAATGAATGTAACCTAGAATTTACAATTCATTGACCCAGGCAAGTTGAGAAAACATTTGGCAAGTTGAGAAAAGTTACTGTGTCGCATATCTCAAAATAAATTACTTATGCACTTGTGAAATCAAATCTTTTTGATATACATTATTTTTTAAGTAACAAAAGTAACACCCCCTGATGCACATTCTCTTCTTGAATGTGAGTGCTCACAATTTAACTTGCTGGATAGGACCTGTGTGTATGGGATGTACAAATACCATCATTGTGCACATACAAAGTTTCCTTCACTGGTTTCCCAGAATTGTGATGATACAAGAAAAGAGAGACTTCAACAGTTGTTACTTTAAGTGCAAATCCTTTCCCAAGAACACAAACAGTGACCCAACCAAGCACTACCCACAAACTGCTTAATCAAGAATTTATGGTAGTTTGTTAATAAACCTCTCAAATACAGCACATTTTTTGGGCAAAATGAGGAGTACAGGACACAAACAATGACCCAACCAAGCACTGCCCACAAAATGCTTAATCAAGAATTTCTGATAGTTTGTTAATAAACCTCTCAAATACAGCACATTTTGTAGGCAAAATAAGGGGTAAAGGTTATTAAGCACAAGGCTACCAAGTCTTGCCTGGTTGTTTTTAACGCCAATGAGATTGAGGCAGGACCAGTGTAAAAGTGTCATTACCTGCCTATCTCATATGAGACCTCCAGGAGTTCACTTCTAGTCTTATATTTTTTGCTGGTAATCTCTCATAAGGGTGCCCTTATATTTAATTAAAAATGTAATGAAACCGTAACAATATCAAAACATCTTTACCTGAGAACAAACACCAGTATTTCTCTCGGGACCTCTCTGGACAGAAACACCTTGCAGTCTGAAAACAGGTTTTTCAGTTTTTCTGTTTCTTGAAGCTCTTTCTTAATAGCCTCCTGTGCTTTGGCATCCTCGCTCTGTCAAAAAAAAAAACAGATTAGTGTATTTTGATGGTTTCTCAGCACCTCTTGCAAATTTCAGTACAATTATTTACTGACATGTTATTAACGTTGAAGAACACATATAACCAGCAACATATCTTCTACTAAAAACACAACATACTTCAGGATCAACAGGAAATTCATCTACTTCAACATCATCAT